CCCCGCTTCCTCTCATTATGCAAACGTGGCGGGGGTTAGTGACGACGGTTATAAGGCGATGCCCCGGGCGGAACAGACGCTCGCGAGCTATCTGTCCCCTGGCGCGGCATCATCCTTAAAGGCTCCGGCATTGCCCTCCAGGCCGTTATGCACAACATCTAGCATGGTGGGGAAGGGGTATACGGCAGCAGGTCAGGCTGGTGCGTGTCTGCACACCATGGCGGTGTTACAGGCATACCAAGCCGACCTGCTAAAGGAACTAGATGAAGTGAGGAAGTAAAATCGAACGATATAGCAGAGCTTCGCAGGACCGCTGACCTATCTCTCCGCGCCACCAAAGAGACCGCCCGTGCCATTGGGCGGTCTATGGCAGCTTTAGTGGCAGCAGAGAGACATTTGTGGTTGACCCTGTCAGATATTAAAGAAAAGGACAGGGTCTTCCTTCCTCACCAGGAGGCCCGTAAACAGGCAGCGGCGTTCCAGCGGTTCCTCCCTCGCCGTTCTCTAGCTCCGGCGGCTGCTGGGCGGGAGCAGCCCTCACCGTTTACCCCCTCCTCCTCATACCGTGAGCAGCAAAAGCAGAGCGTTGCTTCTCGTGCTCCCCCGCAAGCGGCGCTCTAGGTCGAGGGCTTCGCAGTCGAAGCCCGATCTGAGGGTCATGCTTCAAAGGAAGTCCTCGGCCAAAAGGCCCTGACATGAGAAGCTCAAGGCCTCTGAGGGCGGCCCCTACTGGGGAAGAGCAGGGTGCACCGCAGTATACGGTGTCCATCTCTCCTCAGTGCCCTCGGGAGATCTTTCTGCCAACACTGCCATCAACGGTGCTTCAGGGCGCAGCGGTCTCCAGCTGTCTCGCTACCCCTTCGGGGGTCTCCAGAGCAGCTAGTTCGGCCGTCTCCTGCCGGTCCTCCGCTTCAGGGCACAGAATTAGCAGCCACAAGTACACCGGAGGCCAGTCTCGAGAGACTGGTTCCCTTAGTAGACTATTTAGCATCGTGGAACCTACTGCCAAATGTGTCTCGTTGGGTCCTGCACACTGTAGAGAAAGGCTATCGCATTCAGTTCGGCACACCTCCGCCACTGTTCAACAGGGTCTTTCCCACACTCGTGGGCCCAGGGCAGGCTCTGGTATTAGAACAGGAAGTCAACACTCTCTTGAGGAAGGAGGCCATCGAGGTGGTCCCTCCTCACAACAGGGAGTCCAGGTTCTACAGCCGGTACTTCATTGTTCCAAAGAAGGATGGGGGGCTGCGTCCCATTTTAGATCTACGTCAGTTGAATCGCTCAGTCATGAGACTGAAGTTCAGAATGCTCACCATCAAGCAAGTTGTGTCTCAGATCAGATCCGAGGACTGGTTTGTTACAATAGATCTAAAAGACACGTACTTTCATGTCTCCATCCTTCCCACTCACAGGAATTTCCTGAGGTTTGCTTTCAGGGGCGAAGCTTACCAATATCGAGTTCTTACTTTCGGCCTAGCACTCTCACCCTGTACTTTTACGAAGTGTGTGGATGCTGCACTGGCTCCACTGCGACTCCAGGGCATCCGCATACTAAATTCCTAGCCAATGGGGGTCAAGGCTCACTCGACCGGAGGTATGGCGTCCTCCAAGGCCTTCTTAGCAGGTGTGTCTATGCAGGACATATGCAACGCAGCAGGATGGTCCACGCCCCTCACTTTCGTCAGATTCTATGGCCTAGATATGCGAGCCACTCCCGGCTCTTCTGTTCTCTCATCTTAGCTGTGCTCTTCCACAATAGACAGGGATTTGTAAGTCTGGCGGCGTGGGCATTCCCGTTCCCATAGCGTTTCGACGCAGCTTGAGTTCCTGAAGGGGAACGTCTCCAGGTTACATATGTAACCATGGTTCCCCAA